TTCTGCAGCCTTTTGTTTCTGAACGCCACAAGTAAGACAGCTTTCTTGATCTTCGCACCTTATTTCAATTAATTAATTTAGAGTGGATTTATTTGTGGCTTCTGCTTGTGAATATTGCTTTGTTTTTTAACCCCTACTTCACTTTCACAGCTTTTAGTGTATTTCATTGTTGACACATACTCATTTAGAATGCCCCTGACAATTGTTTACACTTACTTTCAGAAAGTTTTAAGAGCATTGCGAGAACCGAAAATTACAAACTGGAAGCAAAAGAAATAGGTATAGTCTTTTTATTATTATTTGTTGTCCTCAACTTTGAAATAAGACAACGAGTAGTCCCTTTTCATGCCTTTTTCGCTTTGTCCGTCAAGCGTGACGCAAGATAAAAGCACGAGAAAATAATGGCCGAGCGAAATCTTGGCACGCTTTTCTCTCTCGCGTACGCTCGACGGACTAAGCGAAAAGAGGAAGTAGTCCTAATCTACTTTGAAATCGAGTCTATGTCATTGATTAGGATCGAGGAGGCTTTTTAACTAAAACCTTATGGTTTTAACAAATTGTTAGTGCGGATTAACTGATTCAGAATGACTAGAAATTACTGAAAGATTGCTATCCGCATTTTCGAGTCCTGGGAAACGTGACATAGTAAAGTGATAATATTCTTGACAAAGACATTAATATATTTTGGAACACGTCGGAGTGAATTCACCTACCACATCGGTTAACTAACCGTATTTACTCGAATAAGCGCCGCGGTGCTTATTAATTTTTTTCCTCCTCAAATGGGGCGCTTATTCGAGGGTGGCGCTTATTTGAGGGCGGCCCTTGTTTATAAAAGTTGGACACGACAAAGAAATCTTTCCTTTTAAGTCAAGGGAATATTTCTATCTTTTTGAAAAATTTAACGGTTATTAACAGAAGCGTCTCTTGATTGTCCCAGTTCGTCTCTTCTGGCACTTTTTATTGCTTTACCTGTGGTGTCTTCACTCAACTTCGATCTCACTATCCCCTGATGCTGTTTTGGAGTTGCATTCTAGCGTTTTGGTAGTTCTACGGAGATTCTCGAATAAGCGCCGCATTCCCGACGCGGCGCTTATTCGAGGGCGGCGCAAATTAACTTTTTGACCCAAATACGGCGCTTAAGGACGTTCGCGCGAAAATCTTCCCACGGTCAGATTTTTGAATAACTTTTACAGCAGTTAGGTAACGACCAACTCAGGTCAGAGAGGCAAAAAAATTCGGGGGTTACCGAGCTCATTTTCGAGATAACCGGTACGAAAGACCGCAGTATTTATAGAAGTTTTGACAGTTGTTTCGATTTGGCTTAGGCTGCTTCAAGTGTTAAAAAAAGGAAAATAAACTGATGTAGCAAGCATTTTTGGTTTCGTAATTGACTTGAACAAGCCTACTAAGTAAATACTTGTCACTGGTGTCAATCCATTTGGTTAAAAGTAACATTCAGGAGGGAAAATTGCTTGTCATACCCAGTCGCGAAGGGCGTAAATTTGCCCCTTTTTGACGTGCCATTGCGACACGCATTACGTGCGCAGTAGTGTGCGCAAAAACAATTAGCACGAACGTCCTTAATCGAGGGCGGCGCTTATTCGAGTAAATGTGGTATTCAGCGATTGCATCAATCGTAGCGATCCTTCCATAAGCGATCGATACGACTGCTGAGATGGTCTTCACTCCAATCTAGTCTACCGTCGCGATCATGTGGGGCATATGGAAACCGGTCGGTCAACGCGAGGATCGTTCAACTTTACATGTAACTTTCTGTTGCGATCGCAGCGATCGTGGCTAATGTAGGGATCTCAGCAATCATATGGATACCATCCTGTTTCCTTGTGATCACTACGGTCGCTACGATCTCTGCGATCGCTACCATCGTTGCAATCACCGATATAGACCTGAAATCTATTACTAAGAGCGATCGTTGATGGAAGCATCTTTTGCTCTTTTTAGCTTGAAATTGATCTTATATGTTTTTAACCCTCTGACCATTGGCCATCGTCTGTGGCAAATTGTCTCTTGTCTGTAGTATACCTTCAATCAGGACGCATACCAAACATGGACCCCTGGTCCATGTACCACCCCTGTAGACCACATCTGATTTTTTTAAAAAAACGAATTTTTACCAGAGGTCTAAAAAAATTAAAAGAACTTTAAGTAGACTATACTGGCGTCATTTACAATCGTTCTTTTCAATTTGATTAAAAATTTTCTTGAATTTCGTACCACTGTATAAGTTTGATCCAATCATGGTCGGAGTTTGATTCTGGCAAAGGAGTAACAATTTGAAGGGTATTGGAGGAACCCTTTGGAGACAAACTTAGCGGAAAAATATATTTCTTTTTTCATCCGCAAAGTTGTTGAATCCTGCCAACGGCAAACAATCTCCATATTAACAATACGGTTTGCAAGGGCAATAGGCATCCTCGGGAAACCGCGCGACGTTAGTTTACAAGCACTGAAGTGCTTTACTGCTTGTAAACGTTCGTGGTAACATTTTCCCAACCCTTCTGACTGCTCCTAACTCTCCGAGAATGGACTAAAGGAAAAATGCATTCGTTTTAATTAAGATTAAATTTGTGTGCATCAAATAGAGTTGAATTACCCTTCTGATTTCATTGTGTAACATTCTTGACGAGTTATTTTAGTTGTTTTGATATTTGTGAAATTTTTTTTTTTGTCACGCGGCCTACTGGGACGTCATTGCGTGTTATTTATTCATAAGGAGTGATACTTGACATTTGAATTTATTGAGAGCGATTAGAATCGCTACGGGAAATGTGCTTTCGGATTTAGCTTATCATCCATGACACATTTGTTGCGCTATTTGCTAAATACTTCTCGGGAAATTTCTGTAAGTTTGTGTTTCTGTTGCTTGTTATTTTGTTTTTTGCCTGTTATGTTTTTTTTATTCGGTTTATTTCTCTCCGAATTTACTTTGTCATTGTTATTTATTTTAGTCAAACTTGTTCAGCAACCAGAATAAATAAATACAATTATTTTAATTTCGCGTTTTTGAGCGAGACATGATTTATCTCCTAGGGGAACCCCTTCGCTCTGGTGAAAAGCATTCAGGGAAAGTGGTGACTATTTTAGATTGGTAGGACTAGCTTGTGCTACGCACAAGTTCATCGTGCGCAGAATGTACGAGTTCATCTAGAGGGAGGGGTCGATTCTTCCCCAAAAATCTTGAATTTAATAGAATTCACGCTCTCTTTCTCCGTATGATATCGAAGAGAGAAATCCCATAAATGCTGAACTGTAGGTGGGTTATAACCCATGTATTACATACTATCCAAGTGGATTCTGAAGTAATGTGATTAAATCAAAAATTGTGACATACTGGGCTCCTTTCGGTAAGGAGTTTTCCATAATAAGCGTTGTTATCCTGTTCTCTTCTCTTTCCAGGATGGATGTACCTTTACGAAAACCGTACTGCGTTCTGTTACTCTGTATGGTGCTGATATTCGTATCATGCGAAACTAATGGTAATCCACTATCCCCAACCTGTTAGATGCCATATCAAAAATTATAGAAAGGTATGAGAAAGGAGAGCTAACGGCAACAACCTCCATTCATTATTTTGTGGACCAAAATAACGTGGAAACCTTTGTTTCTTCCTGGGATTATCATCTGGGATCCATTACTACAGTACTTTCATGGAAGCTTACCTTGTCCTCACTGTGGCCAAATACTGAAACCTAGATGTTGGAAAGATGGGAAAGATTGGAAACACAACAGTCCCAGGCGGCTTGCAGATATAGAACATTATGTTCTGCTCGTAAGCAGGGTGTACGCATGCAAAAATGACCACAGGATAATCAGTTATGACCCTCAAATTCTGAAGATGTTTGAACAGGTTGAACTGATCCCATTCCTTCTTTTGCACAAGTATGGTATTACTCGACGTTTATACAGATTAATTATCGTTCATACTGCGTCTGGAATGAGGTACAGGGATGTGGAAACACTTTTAACTGAGATGTGGCGTAGTTATCACACCGAGGTACGCATTCGGACATCAAAAATATTAGTAGTATGAGAACGTCAGAGGGTGAAGCAGCAAACGACGCGAGTCACAATGCATATACAATGCCGCAGGTTTCACAGTTAAACCCTAACAGGAAGCTGATTCGCCAGTGCTTTGTTTACGATTATTTTACAAAAGAAAAACTTTACAATGCACGCATGGCATCGTTTACTGGCAGTTGGCTCTCCTCTGACCACACATTTAAGGTCGCTAGTAATGTCGGTATATGGCAAAATGGCCATTGGATTCGTCAGTTTGACTCTTTGTTTTCTGTCATGAACGAGGATGGCATTGTCCTCGCTTGGCAATTAACAAGAGGCACTGGTTTTGCAAGAGTAAAGACTTTACTCGTTGGAATTATGAACAGGCTTGTAAAAAGCGGAATTACCTTAGAGGATTTTCCATTGACAACTGTTGCGCCTGGAGGTTACTCCTTCAAGGGGTGTTTGGAGTTATTCCGGTTAAACTTGATCTCTTTCATGCTGTACAACGCATCGCAAGTAAAATTAAAAAAAGGCACCCGTTAAGAAGACAGTGCCTCGATTCATTTCGTTTAGTTTTCCGAATGCCGGGCGATATTGGGAAAGAATGGAAGAAGTCGACGCCCTCTCGCTCAGTAATGTTGACAAATTTAGACAGATTTGTGGAAAACTGGGAGAATCTTGAAGTTGCAGGAGAGAAGGTACTTTCAAAAAATGCCCGTAACCAATTGGACAAGTTAAGAGCACATATTGAGAAAGGTTGCTTGGAAGGATCCTCCAAAAGCAGGAACAAGTAGACAGGAATCGATGCATAAAAGCCTCCGGAAAGGCGTAGAAAAAGGAAAATTGGTGTTAAAACAGCAGTGGCAAGCATAGGTACGTGCCTATACAGGTGGAACGAAAGGCGAATATCAGAAAAGGTAGGATCGTGTCATTCGGCAGTTCCTGTCCCAGTCACCGAGTACCATGACTTGTCGATGGATCAAGAAGAAGTATTTGGTACCGGAGTGTTTCAAAATCCAAACAGTTTTAGCGACGATGACTTGGAAGATGGCGCGGAAGTCAATGCTAGAGAAAATGATTCAACAGGGGATAGCAGTAGCGAGGAAGAGGAATATGGGACTGATAACGACAACAATGTGAAGATCACGACAGAAGACACGTATCATAGAGTTCTGGGTATGCTATGTATATGAAGAGCCTATCGCAAGATTTGCAAGCGAAATGTGATGCACCTACAATGAAAGTAAATGTGACTCAGTGTGTTGGACGGAGCCTTCTATTATTTTCATCACGTACACGTTATTCCAGGCCAGACGCGGAAGAATGCGACGAGAGGTTAAACAGCATTTTAAATGCATTTCAATTCCAACAGTTGCCGATGCCCGGAGATGGAGACTGTTTTCTACGTTGCATTTCCATCACTTTAAGCTCTTTTCTAACAATAAATCAAGGGAACTCAAAACTGATCACGTACTTGAAATCGATCGGCATCAGTACGGAAAGGTCTAACGAGGATAAAATAAACGTTCTCAGACAGTTGATTGTGCAAGAATTCACAGGGCCCAATCGGCACCTTTACGAACCATTTATGATAACAAACACCACTGATTCATATGATACAGAAGCTCAGAAGTTCCTTAGGCCAGGCCATTATGATTCTGAATTAGGAAACTGTGTGCCAATGGCAATGAGTAATATCCTGCAAATACCGCTGGTTATTTTTACATCGATGGAAAATTATCCCATTACACAAATAATTCCTAGAACAAGAGTGCTTTCCGAAGTTCCGATATACCTCGCATATAATCATGGTGGCAGCGGACACTATAATTTGGCAGTTGAAGTAACTCACACGCAGTCAAATTCAACTACAACTGAAGCAACCAGCAAAGAGGCAGACAAGCATTTGCAAGTTGAGGCCGACGTTCCCCCTCAACATGAGGCAGGGTGTTCGTGTGGTCGCGGAAACCCAGGGAAGACAGGGAAAAGTGAATTCTGCAAACAATATAAGTCACGCTGTCCTTGTTTTCGTAATCTGCGAGGCTGCAATGAAAAGTGTTCCTGCCGTTTGTGCGCGAATCCGTTTGGTAGAAAAACTCAAGAAAAAGGGATCTTTGGTCCGCTACCAAGAAAGAGACAAAAACAAGATCTTCAGAAAGATATGAAGCAGACAGACAAAGGATATATGGAAAAGAAAACAGAAGAACCCATCGCTACAATTTGGTTTGAAGACGAACTGTATGTCATTGAAGCGTTGTTCTTGTACTTGTTAGTTACAAGCCAAGATATTACCCCGGACAGGGTCTTTGCAGAGTACCACAAGATAATAGAATTCTGCTCAGAAGTGACAATTTATCAAAATGTCTTTTCTCTGCGTCCAAGATCCTCGTCAGCAATAACAAAGAAACTACAAGAAATAAAAGGCAAGTTAAAGGTTGACGAGGAATTATTCAAAAAAAAATCCAATACAACTGGTTTTTTGACTAAATCGAATTTGCACAAGCAGATAACAAAATGATATCTTCCTGCAACGGCCAATCCCGTTCCAAAGGACTAATCGCCAGTGATTATTGAAGGAAGTTTGGTCGCAGTTTTCCCACGATGGCTTAAACCGTTATTTCTCATCGGCACGTGGCACTTTCAGCCACACGAAGCAGTTTTAAATGAAAAACAATGCAAACACATTTGTGGCAGAGTTAATGCGTTATTCGTTTAAGATCCATGATTCTTGAAGACGAGAAAACGTATTAATAATTTTAGAAAAACGTGTTCTGTTTAAACATATTTTTTGTTTCATTTTCTGATAAATCATACTGTTTATACGAGTTATATAAAACAGTGTCGAAATTAAGTATAAATTAGTTGTTCTCGGACTTTGTCTATTCCGTCTTTTGGTTAATAGGCAGGTACCGTATTTACTCGAAAAAACGCCCCCGGCGTTTATTTTAAACTTGGCATCGTTGACCCGGCGTTTATTTGAAATCCGAAGCTTGCTTGAGCACTTTATCCATGAAGCAATGGATTTTCTTCATTAAATTTTACAGAAATAAATCTTTCCGTTATATCTGCAGTACATTATACGTCTAATAAATACTTAAGGGGATTATTTAACATTCCATCTTGGAGACCCGGCGTTTATTCGAAGCCCGGCGTTTAATCGAGTAAATACGGTATTACATGTAATCTGTTCTGTTAGTTATTCCCAATCGGGGATATGAAATTTTATTTTCTTTAAGGAGGAAAATAAAACAGATGCAGCTCATATAACGAGATCACTAAATATAATGTCACCTAGAGAATATAGATTGTCCAACTAGACATGCTCTCAAAAGGGTTTAGGGCTCCAGGGATCCGGGCTTAAAATTAAGAAAGGGCTCCAGGCCTCCGAGGAGAGAATTTCAAAGTTCTAGGGCCCCATATCATTTGCTTTAGGGCTACAGGCTCCACCGTGGTCGACAATCCTCAGGGGCGTAGTCTGGTTTTTCGGTCTAGGCACGCACATGAAACAAAAGAAAAACGAGCGCCGAAGAAGCAAGGGCCTCGGAAATGCCATTTACCATGTTTTCAGGGGGAATTTTGATAAATCGAAACATGGAAAAACGTTAACAATTTATGACAACCTTTGGTACAATTGATATTAGTTACAATGTGAATACAGGCAAAGGGCGAGACTTGTAATGTCCATGGCTATACTACGCGTTTTTTAATCGCATTTTAAGGGTCGCATGTTAGGCGTTCGATTTACGTCTTTCCCGGCCGTAACACTATGACCTAATTTCATTTCTTCAATAACCTCGTGCTCCTCGCATTTTACAGTTCTGTTCTCCAAATAAAATTGTCGTCAACAAATTGGCTTTTTTTTACATCCTTTTTTATTTCATAACAATTTTTCCTACGAACGAATAAATCATGTCCTCTTCTAGTACAACGAGAAGAGGACATGATTTTCTGTTTAAAGTTTAATGATTGAAGTCATTTGATTAAATTTTCAAAAAGGAAGTTACCTTCTGATGGTCCTCCTTTACTGACCTTTCAACAGTCTGTTCTATTCACCAAGCTTAGGTAAAGTAGCCCTTCACGATTTTGTTACATGTCTGGCCGCACAGGCTACCTCTAAAGATGTGGCTTTGAGCACTCAAACATTAAATGAACTGAAAGGACGTTGAACACTTCATCAACCCAAAAGTTCAAACTGACCCGAAATGACTACGTTTCACACTGACTTCAAATACTTTCGCAGACCTCTTCAAAGGGCCAAAAGGTGGATTTCGATCATTTTATTTTTGCCTTTCATTTTCTTACTATCGTTGTGATGACTGGGTTTCAAACTCCTGTTTTAAAGTGAATAGCGCAATATTCACAAAGACTTCTTGATGAAAAATAGCAGCAATACAATGAGAGAAAAACTCTTGCATGTGTAAAAGTCGCTTTTCGCCAATAAATCTTTAAACAAGCAGATAAATAAATAAATAATTCCTTTTTTTTTCCTACGCCCTTGAATTCTGATACATACAAATTATTTTCTAATTCAAATCCACAAATAACAAAGTCTGCCCTTTTTTATTACAACCCTGAGCTTTCGGTTATCACGTCTCTTGTTGTTTAACTGTAGATTATAAGCTTGAGGAAAATGTGCTTTGCCTTCTCTCCAGATCCCTTACAAGTAGCCCAAGATGTATGGATGGCAAGGGGGACAAGGTTCAAGATGCAAGGCTCACCCAATAACATACATTCTAAGCATTTTTACTAACATCGAAGGTGTATATGTTACCTGAGTGCCAAAAGGTAGCAAAGAAACGCGCAAATTTTTTTTCAAGAAGCATAAAAACTCTGAGCTAGGCATCGCAGTGCAGAAACCAAGAACCTACTGTTCCTCTGTGCCTACTGTTCCTCTGTTCCTCTGTGCCTACTGTTCCTCTGTGCCCTCTGTTCCTCTGTGCCCACTGTTCCTCTGTGCCTCTCTTCCTCTGTTCCTCTGTGCCCACTGTTCCTCTGTGCCTCTGTTCCTCTGTGCCTACTGTTCCTCTGTGCCTACTGTTCCTCTGTGCCTCTGTTCCTCTGTGCCCACTGTTCCTCTGTGCCCACTGTTCCTCTGTGCCCACTGTTCCTCTGTTCCTCTGTGCCCACTGTTCCTCTGTGCCCACTGTTCCTCTGTGCCTCTCTTCCTCTGTTCCTCTGTGCCCACTGTTCCTCTGTGCCTCTGTTCCTCTGTGCCTACTGTTCCACTGTTCCTCTGTGCCTACTGTTCCTCTGTGCCCACTGTTCCTCTGTGCCTACTGTTCCTCTATGCCCACTGTTCCTCTGTGCCTACTGTTCCTCTGTGCCCACTGTTCCTCTGTTCCTCTGTGCCTACTGTTCCTCTGTTCCTCTGTTCCTCTGTTCCTCTGTGCCCCTGTTCCTCTGTGCCCCTGTTCCTCTGTGCCTACTGTTCCTCTGTGCCCACTGTTCCTCTGTGCCCACTGTTCCTGTGTGCCCACTGTTCCTCTGTGCCTACTGTTCCTCTGTGCCTCTGTTCCTCTGTGCCCACTGTTCCTCTGTGCCCACTGTTCCTCTGTTCCTCTGTGCCTACTGTTCCTCTGTGCCCACTGTTCCTCTGTGCCCACTGTTCCTCTGTGCCCACTGTTCCTCTGTGCCTCTCTTCCTCTGTGCCTACTGTTCCACTGTTCCTCTGTGCCTACTGTTCCTCTGTGCCCACTGTTCCTCTGTGCCTACTGTTCCTCTGTGCCTACTGTTCCTCTGTGCCTACTGTTTCTCTGTGCCTACTGTTCCTCTGTGCCCACTGTTCCTCTGTGCCCACTGTTCCTCTGTGCCTCTCTTCCTCTGTGCCTACTGTTCCACTGTTCCTCTGTGCCTACTGTTCCTCTGTGCCCACTGTTCCTCTGTGCCTACTGTTCCTCTGTGCCTACTGTTCCTCTGTGCCTACTGTTTCTCTGTGCCTCTGTTCCTCTGTGCCCACTGTTCCTCTGTGCTCACTGTTTCTCTGTGCCTACTGTTCCTCTGTGCCCACTGTTTCTCTGTGCCTACTGTTCCTCTGTGCTCACTGTTCCTCTGTTCCCACTTCCTCTGTGCCCACTCTTCCCCTGTGCCCACTGTTCCTCTGTGCCTACTGTTCCTCTGAACCTACTGTTCCTCTGTACCTACTGTTCTTCTGGGCCTCTGTTCCTATGTACCCTATGTGCCTACTGTAATCGGTGACGAAGGTAAATAACTAATGACGTTAGTCAGGTCGTCGTACATGAGCCATGAGCCAAAATACTGGTGGTGCATTGCACGCGAGAGGCCTTGGTATATGTTGTGCTTTATGTATTTTGAGGTTGATTATCTCGTTTGTCCTTGTTTCAAGGCAAAATTTCAGAAATCAAACAAAGAAATGTACATTATATATCATCTCTTTAGTGAATCGGAAGGAGACATGGAAGAGGAAAGGGAGAATGAAGAAGATCCGGATTGGATTGAAGGAGAAGTTTCAGAGGTTACTGAGAGTGAGAGCGAGGGTGAGATGGAGAGTGAAGACACTGATGTTGTTGTTTCTGTTGATCCAGTGCCTTCCACATCCCATGCTACAGGTAAGTTTTACAACCCTGCAAGGTCACGTCGTCCTCTTAGGGCTAAAAGGGTACCTGCCAGCCGAGGTGCTAGAGCTCATGCTTTAGTAGCTCGAGGTTCTACAAGAGGTCGTGGTGCTAGTAGAGCTCGTAGAGCTCGTGGTGCTCGTGGTGCTCGTGGTGCTCGTGGTGCTCGTGGTGCTCGTAGAGATGGAAATAAGGCAAAGGACCAACCTGCAGTGGTTATTTATAAATCATATGATGATGTGGATGAGGGAAATCCCAGTGATCAGTTTCCACCCCCTCCCTTTATACCAGCACGTTCTCCTGGGTTACATTTTCAACAGCCTTTGCTCAGGGGTAGGATGCAAACTGCTGTTGAGTTTTTTAAATTATTTTTCACTGAAGAACTGGTGAATAATATTGTTAGGCACACCAACAGCTATGCCGTTGAACACATTACTGAGGGTACCCATCGTAGTTATGCTCAAGGGGATGGATCATGGAAGGACACAACACCGGAGGAGATATACCGGTTGATAGCCCTTCTGATCTATTTTGGGTTAGTTAAAATAGGTATAAATGTTATCAGGTATTGGAGTACCAAGACCCTCTACCATGGTCTTTGGGCAAGATCCATTATGTCCAGAATGCGATTTCAAGGGCTCATGGCCTTCTTGCATGTTGTAGATCATACAACTGAGACCCCCGGTGAGAAGTTACGCAAAGTAGAGACCTTTGTTAACTATTTTAAATCTAGATGTGTTGTTTTGTACCAGCCCAGAAAACAGGTGGCCATCGATGAGCGTATGGTCAGGTCACGCCACAGGTCTGGCATCCGCCAGTATATAAAGGACAAGCCCATTAAGTGGGGAATTAAACTCTGGGTACTTGCTGATAGTTTAAATGGTTATACAGTAGATTTCAACATCTACATCGGGAAAGATGCTTCTAGAGAGATCACTAGATTTGGGCTTGGGCATGATGTTGTGGTAAGACTTATGAGTCCCTACTATAACCAAGGTTATCACTTGTTTGTTGACAATTTTTATTCTTCAGTTTACCTCATGAAGCATTTATTTCAGAATGGGGTTATAGCTACAGGTACCATCTTGCAAAAGAGGAAAGATATGCTAGAAGATTTCAAGAAAGGAACTGAATGGGGAAAGAACAAAGCCAGGGGTACTATGCGGTGGCAGAGGGATCCACCCTGCCTGATCTTACAATGGGTTGACAGTAAAGTAGTAACTGCGATCACCACTACTGGTAATGCTAATGACTCTGTTCAGGTAAAGCGTAGAGAAAAAAATAAAAATGGTGTATGGAACACAGTAGATGTACGTCAGCCTCAGGTCTTTGCAATGTACAATCAGTATATGAATGCTGTGGACCGATCTGACCAGATACTGGCCACCCACAATGTGCAACGCAAATGTTCAAGGTGGTGGAAGACACTTTTTTATCACCTCATTGACATTGCTGTTGTCAACAGTTTTATTCTTTTCAGAGAACACCAGCAGAAGAATCCAGATAATCCTGCCCTCAAAAGGACAACAGATTATTCTCAGGGTGACTTCAGGGAGGAGATTATCCGTGGAATCTGTGGCCTTCCTGACTATGATAACCCACCTGCATCCATTTCAGGCAGATCCCCAAGGCCAGATACCAGCCAATTTGTGACAGAACACATTCCAGTTCAGGCTGAGCATAGGAGAAACTGTGTGGTCTGCTACAAGGAAGGTAGGGGTGAGGTAAAGGTGCAAACCTACTGCAGTGCACCGCAGTGTGAGGGAAAGTACATGCATGTTGCTAAGCAGAGGAACTGCTTTGCAGTATTTCATAGTGCAGAGTATCACCTTCCTGATCCTTGAACCTTGATTTCCTGGTTGCTCTGAAACCCTCTGTAGTTTTATGTTGTGTTATACATGTACATAGGAGAAATGTTGTGTTTTGTTATTGCTTATGCTTTGAATGCTTTGAATATTGTGATGAATGTCTTTTATCATTTAGCTGTGGGACCTGCCTAGATGTGGCAGGGGTGAGAGGAGGGTGCCCCACACCCTTTTTTTTTACCAGCATTTTCTTGAAGGTAAATACACACCACTCAAACTATATGTATGATAGAAAAAAAAATTTCCATTTTATTCACTTCGATCAGTGTTCACTAAATATGTGTCACACATCTCAGATTTGTTTTTTTTCCAGCCAATTTTTATGGAAATGTTGCTCATATAACAAGGAACCTTTTTGGTTAATTTTTGCCTCAGTACTTCATATCATTTGGGTAACACTTAATTCACAGTTCAAGTTTTGATGATATTGTAATTCAATTCAATTTCAATTTCAATTCAATTTTTTATTTGTTAGCAATACAATATTATCACAGACCTAGGTGACCCGCAATTAGCAAGCTATTCTAGGCGGGCCACCCTTCTAAAACAAGTGCTGTCTCTGCTAAGGATCACATACCGATACAATTAAACAAAGATAATCATTAATAAAAATACAATTGTTAAATAAAATAAAATAAAATTAAGTCCGTTGAATAATTAAATAATCAATTGCAAAGTTATCAAGATATATAATACAATTGAAACAAGACTTAAACGAAGAGTTACTTTATCAAGAGATATTTACAAATTTCAGAGCAGCGTATATCAACATTCATCTCCTCAATTTCCAAAAGTTTTAACAGGCGATTTTTAAGTTCACGCTTAAACGGGGTTCTGTTTTTTAATACGAAGTTCTTTTGGGATGCTATTCCACAATCTTACACCTATTCTAGCAAAAGAAAATAAAAGTTGGTTAGTTCTAGACGCTTTAACGTACAGATTAGCCGTTGCTGAGAATCTTGTGAAATGGTGATGAACCTGCTCGGAGTGGATAAAGAGCATAGAAATATTAGACGGGGCACGGTGATTATCAATGTCATGCATCAAAGAGGAAACCAAATGAGAATAGAGCATAGTTATTGGTAAGATTCTGGAGTTAACAAATAGCGGGGCACTATGAGATTTGCTATCCGCAAAATACATTAGTCGTAGAGCACGTTTTTGTAAAATGAGAACCTTATTTAAATGAGTGTTAGCAGCTTGTCCCCAGGCAATAAGACCATAAGAGATATAGGGTTCAATTAAGGAGCGGTAGATGTTAAGAAGTGTGGCAAATGGGACAAGATGTCTTAACCTGGCAATTATACCAATTCCTTTACTAACTTTAGATGAGATATAATCAATATGATACTTCCAAGAGAGGTTATTATCTATCAGAATTCCTAGATATTTCACAAAAAGTTTTTGTTCTAGAGATACACTTTTTTTTTAAGATCGTTATTATAAATTTTCAAGTGAACTATGTAGTCCAATTTGCGTTGGTAAGGATGGAAAATAACAAAGTTAGATTTACTAGTGTTAAGAGAAAGTTTGTTTGCGTCCAACCAGTCACCCACTTTTGCGAGTTCATCATTAACAACTTTTTCAAGATCCTTAAGATCTTTGTTTGAATAAAAGCAAGTTAGTATCGTCAGCAAATAGGTAAAACTCAAAAATCTGGGAGCAACGGTAAATGTCGTTAACATAAATCAAAAAAGAGAAGGGGCCAAGTACAGACCCTTGAGGGACACCACAAACTATCTCTTCTATATTCGACACGGTTGAACCAATTTGAGTCGACTGGTTCCTGTTCAACAAGTACGAAGAGAACCAGTTATTAATTATTCCTCTGACTCCATAATGATATAATTTGTGCAGTAAGATTGAGTGATCCACCGTATCAAAAGCCTTTTTTAGGTCAATAAAAATACCACAAGAGAATAACTTTGCATCAATATTAGTTTGAATTTTGCTTAAGATATCTAAAATTGCATGTTGGGTTGAACACTTGTCTCTAAATCCATATTGAGAAGTAAAAAAGATACCGTTTTTTTCGCAATGTGATTTAAGACGTTTAGCCATCAATTTCTCAAATAATCGATTGAAGACAGAAAGGAGGGAAATTGGGCGGTAATTACATGGATCAGTTTCGTCTCCCGATTTGTAGATAGGAATTACTTTGGCATGCTTCAAAAGATGGGGATAAATACCCGTTGAGATAGACTTATTCATCATGGCAGCTAAGAGTGGAGAAAGGATATGATGATTGATGATATTGTATGCTAATTAAAGCTAGTTTGAAAGCATTCAATGAGGTTGTTTCCTTTTTCTTGGAGAGGAAACATGCATTTCAGGAAAGCTTATTTACTGCTGTTTCAATTGAGCTATAGCTTACTTCTCTTGTGTAAATACTTGGTGAGGAATAAATTTTTCAATAATCTGGGTCAATTTTTATGGTTTTGGGGTACAGTTTGTAAAAAAATTCTAATTAATTCTGTATTTGTTCTTTTTCAGCCAGAGTCTCTGGATAATCTTGCCCTTAATTTAAGGAATATTTTATCTTAGAAATGTTTCCTTGTAACTCCAATCCATTCAGGCCCAGGCTGTTTCAAAGTCAAAAGTTGTACAATAATTTATGCAAATTGTATGCCATTTTCTTAGCAGGATTTAAAATCCATGGATTTTTGGAGGCAAATTATATT